ATTGCCAAGTATTGCAGATTTAAAGGCACAGGAACTCAAATACCAAGAGGTGCAAGTACTAGTATTGAAAGAGCGGCCCCTAGAACCCAAAGACATTTCAGCAGTCATAGAAATTTTAGAACATCACAAGGAAGACCAAGCATGAGTTACAAGCAAAGATCCTATGATGGTAAAATTGCTCATAATAAGAACGTATTTCAAATATCTGATTATGAAGGCGTGGATGATAAGAGACATTTCCTCTTAGACAGTGGTAGTTTCATACACATTTGCCGATTTAAAGAATGCTTCAGTCAACTTGACACACAGAATAGACCAAGGATACTGCAAGCAAATCAAGAAAGCTTGAAATTGCTCGGAACTGGGACAGTACCTTTAAAAGTTCTAACTTCTAAAAATGAGGTGGTAGATCTAACATTGACAGATGTATGCCAAATAAGACAAGAGATATGTGACCATAAAAACTGTCTTTACTCATGGCATTTACTAGTATCTCGGTGTCTGGCAACCTCCTTTATAAATTACACAACAGTATGAACCTCCAAACCAAGGTTCATGCCCAGAGATCCAGTTTACAATCCTTGATTTTTCCCCTCCTCTCTCTATTTGATTCATTTCATATGTTTTCCATCCAGAATTGTTTAATTGTGTTATAATTTTCTTATATTTGTGTTGTATTATATGTTGTAAGCCGCCTAGAGTGGTCGCAATGACCAGATAGGCGGGGTATAAATAGAATAAATAAAATAAAATAAATAAATTGTTTAGTCATGATGCTCAGGATCAAAATAAACAAGATGAAGGTCTTCATGCTCCTCTTTTTAATTAAAAGTGGCCAAGAGGCCCTACAAATTGAATGGGAATAATGACATAGGTTGCATGTGAATTTTCTATATATTCCTCCACCATGAGGAGCTTTTACTGAAGGAGAGAGAGGAGCAGAAAGTATCAGATATTGCTTCTTCCTAGAGATGCAAAGAGGTAAACTGAATGGGAAATCAGAAATGAATGGTGATTATTTTTCTACTTCCAAAGATTCCTAGCTAGACTATTTCAAATCCAATTTAAAAATGGAACTGTTACTCTTCTGTCATAAGACATCAATACCGAAGATTTTAACTCTTTCCAATTTCTTTTTCCATCAACTTGAAAAGATTTCAAAGTAGTACTGACCCACATCTAGATAAAGTATTTGATTCTGAATTCAAGTTAAAACCACTAATTAACAGCACTGTTCCAACATGCTATGTGTCCATATTCATGAGAAGCTCATTCTTTAGATTAGAAAAGCTGCATGCAAGAACATGCAGGCTTCTTTAAATGTGATGCTGCATGTAGAAAATCTCTTTCAGCCCCAAGTAATACTCACAAAGACACAGAGGACTGACTTCAACACCTCTAAAAGTGGGTTGTTGTTTTTGTGATGGTGGCACTGACTCTTTCACAAGAACACAAAACTACTTAGCTGGATTAGGTAAGGGGTTCTTCAGCTTCCCATAATACCATCAATATTTTTTCATAAGTTCAGAAGAACAGGATGATAATGCAACATTTGAGAGTAAGTAATCACATCTAGATGCCTGTAACTAATTCCTTTTCATGTAAGAAGTAATACAACTAGGAATAAAAAGTATTTTACATGTAACTAGTAATCATCTTATCAAACTTGAGTGGCAAGAAAAGTATTTTCTAATTTTATCTTCTGTATTCTTATAATATTTTCTAAGTTGAAATATCAGAATCAGGAAAACAGCAGTATTTCCTTGTATTTTTCTGGCAGTACCAGCAATCTCAATAGATTGGTGGCACAAATCAGAGCAAAAACACAAATAATGAAAGCCCAGACATTAGAAGAAAACAATGCCCTCAATTCTCTTCCAGTTATGTGAATGGCATAATTTTTAAAAACAAATTGTTTTAAGTTAAGAAATCCCCATATTT